ACACACCTCATAAGTGCTAAGTGACTGAAGAGGAAATAGTGTCACATCTACAATGTTTTGAAAGCTTGGCTGAGCAATTTATATTACATCTACAACACACAGTCACACTAACATTTATAGTTACTGGTGATTTTATAGGACGTTTATTCCAGTTTCTAATCAGGATGTTTCCATTTCATCCTCCCTCATTCTTCTTTCCTATTCTACATTATCCAGTGTATACCTACTGTATAAATACCTTTCCAGTCTACCACTAATGTGGCTGCAATAATACTGCAAAGAAAGTTAAACGGCTAATATAAAGTGGGTATAAACTGCGTATCCTGGTATGTTGTGTAGCGGATAAGATGAGCATAATCATCATAATGGCAGAGTCTGAATGACCATCCAGGAGACACGTAAAGCAGACATAAGGCTCTTGATGTTAAAAGAGAGTACCACAGGCCAACCGAACTGTCAGTCAGATCATGACTCACCACCGTCAGTACCGCAGCTTGTCCAAGGCACATTCACTACTAAACACTCGTGACATCTTTTCCGCCATCTCCCACTGCGGCAACGAATGGAATCCAGCTGCACAAGTGGTCCAGGAGCTATTAGCAGTGCACCGTATACTGTAATTGAAACGTTCTTTTCTGGTTGGGAGGGTATGTCTGTTAACGGTGCTTACTCACACTAGTGGAACTTTGGGGAGACCACAGCAGCTCTGGGCAGCCTTCCATGCTGAGGCCAAGTGAGAGGTTTGCCAAGGTCAAGGCTAGATGAAAATTCAATCAAAAGCGCTGTTTCTCTGTCTGGAACTACAGCTGAGCTGCTAGCCGCTGTTTGATACTAATCAATAAATGACTCAACCCCCAACAAAAGGAATCATATAGCAATTTATATTTTAGATTTTTACTTGCATTACAATGTGTTAAACAAGTATTTTGAATATGTAGATGTGGATGTAAGTGTAAAATATGGAAGATACTTAACTGACACAATACAAATACAAAACAATCTACAGGATTTGTAGGAGTCAGCATCAATGACTACAAGTTAAATCTGTCTCAGAACTGTCACTGTTGTTTTCTTGTTTACTGCTACAGACAAAACAAATTTTAAATGATGTAATATCTTTAATCTATGCAGCTCCTTAACACAGGTAGGGGAGATATGTGTGGCAGTTCCCCTTCAACCACAAAGGACAAATTAGTCAGTGTTGAAGTCAAATCATAAACTGTTTATAAAAATGCTTATAAATGCATGTCACCACTTCCTGAATTTTGAGTTTGGTTCATGTCCCATCTACTAACATGGAGGGGGCGGGGTTTATCACCTATACTGCAAATAGCCACCAGGGGGTGATCAACAAATCAGACATAGATTTATGTAGCCTACATGTTAATTAGCATGTTTTAAAAGCTAGTGGTTTCCCCCTACTTCCAGTCTTTATGCTAACCATCTTCTGACCGTAACTTAACATTTAACAGATAAATATGAGCGTGATATTGATTATTTCAGCTAACTCTCAACAATAACAGCGGTAAAGGTCAGTTGGTGTGGTAAGTTCAGCAGTGGTCTCTATTACTTTACTTTTAGCAACTATAAATACTTAGGTGACTACTCACCTGTGACATCTAATACGTATGTGAACCTGAATCTATTCAAAAATCTTTATCTTTATTTTTACACTGTGATTTCATCCTAGCACACAGTGTTGTTATCCACAATCATGTACTTCCACCCCTGACAGAAAGCAGTAACCCAAATTTTGTTTCAAAAACCAAATGAAAGACATTTACATACTCCTGAAGAGGAAGTTAAGTTCTCACAATCTTCTTATTCCTTTGACTAAGCAAACATTCCTGTACTTGGAATTGTGGGAGGACGTCGCTCCAGCCAGCGCACAACCTGCAAGACAACCTGGAAGTCTTTAATGTGGCAGTTATTGTTTTCACAGTGCATATTACAGCATGCCTGACTACAGACGTGAATAGAGAGAGGAGTTGAAACAGGCATGTAAAAGAATCAGTCACAGGGTTTATGTGGGGAAATAAAGCAGAGATTGTGTGACAGGCCCTGATGAGGGATGTGTTCATGCCATCTGGGTTGCTTTAACACTGTGGTCACTGTGCTGAAGGCTCTGTACTGTGTCCTGATGTTAAACACAGAGGTGGTAGTCATGGAGTTGCGGTTAATGTTTTGTTCTGGAGACAGAGAGAGAGACTGAGAACCCACCTCTCTCTCTGTCTCTCTCTTTTTCTGTCCTAGCTGTCAGCACCGACGGTGAGCCGGGGTAGAGCTGGCGTCTAATTGAAGAGCAGCTCCACACCCTGTCGTCATTAATCACCAGGCCTGTCAGCCGCTGCTCAGGACCTCACAGTGGCACTCTGCACTGTCTCTGCACTGACGCACACAGGGGAAAATATTGGTCCCCTCCATCAACATCACCATTTTTACTGATACTACTCCTACTACTATTTTGATTACTGCTGTCATTCTAGTATCATTGCCACCGTTACTACAACAACCACATTACTGTGACTGACTTCCATATGCTAATTACTATCTCTACCACTTCTATTAGAAATTACTTCAACATTTTAGAAAATATCTTGACAAGCTGTCATTCCTTATGTTTCATTTTTTGTACAAAGTAAACAAACAAAACATAATGCATTAATTTGTTATTTTGGGAGGTGCGGCTGCTAGGTTAGCTGTTTACCCCTGATTCTAGACTTAATGTTGAGCTAACACTTTGGAGCACCATATTTTGCAAATATGAGAAAGGTATCAGTCTTCTGGTGTAACTTTTAGCAAAAAACTAAACCAAACAAAACCAAAAAAAAAAAGCAGATGTGAATGTTTCCCAAAGCTACATTCTAGTAGCAGCTACCGGCAAGCTACTTTCTGTTTTGCTTCTGGAAGTTATTTGAAACAGCACTGAAGGACAAACTAAATTTGTTCTACTAGCTTTCTAATTGATGAAAAAGAAGATAAAAAAAAGCACTAAATCTTAAACTTCAGAAATGTGGTATTTTTGCAGTATCAATATAAATATATACCCACACCAGAGTCAGATAGTGGCTTAAAATGTTTACACACATTAATATGATCTTTTTCTTAACAAATTGATGACATATTCTTTGTTTAAGTCTCCAAAAACGCCTGCGGGGTGTGTGTTGTTGAGCTGGTCTTTTTCAGTGTGGCTTTAATTTTTAGATCTTGCACATTGCTTTAGCAAAACATCAGCATTTTTAGAGAAAATAACATTTGCGTCCCCACAGACCCACAGAATTCAGCAGAATTCAGTCTCACGTGTGTCACCCTCTATGGACGACAGATTAAAGGTCAACACACATGCTTACAGACACACACAGCCTCACACAGGCAACATAAATGGAGGGTGTGGGTGTTGACTCAGCTGTGAGAGTGTGTATGTCGGTTGGGGAGGGAGGGTGAGAAGATAAATGGAGGAGATTGATGAGCGTGGGATAGGGAGAATAGTGAGGCATCTGATGGACGAGTGTAAACTGGCAACAGAGGAATTAATTCCAGCCCTCAGACAAGATTGAAAGTTCTCCCCTCTGCATGACCTCCGGTGTGGATCATCATCACATTCACAACAACATGTCCAATTCTCTATCTACATCCACATTCATACACATCAAAAGGAGGACAACGCTATAGATGCATATTTCATGTCTAAGAGATGTCCTTGCCCTTCTCATAAAGATTTCACCTGTACTTCACCAACACAACTTTAGGGGGCAACAGAATCTAACTCTACAAGTTACAAAGAAATATGTTCCACTAAATCCATATGTGCATTAAAGCATTACAGCCAGAATATCCTTGACCCATTTTATCTAGACTACTTTATAAAACACATCAACAGAACCAGCAACAGGAAAGTTAGCCTGTCCTGTTCCAGAGAAGTGCAAACACAGCTCCAGTTTCTAAAGAAGAAAAATAAGTGTACCATCCCAAAGAGCTACCCAGAGCGGCGATCAGGGCGCCGTGACCTTGCTGGTGTGGCAGGGGCTGGATGTGGTTTGGGAGGGTCATCCATTTTGTTAATGGTCCTGTCAAGTGACACCTGTGCTTGCCTTTCCCCTGTCTGGAGTGCTAATGAACCGCAAGAGTAGAGGAGTCTGGGAGTCGGGGTCAATAGCTGCCTCCGATACTACAGCCTCTTTACTTTGCACCACCTACACCCTGTCAGCCAAATAGAGTGGAGGCACAGACACATTATCAGGGCCGAAACACTCTAATGGCACTGTTGCGGCTGTATGATAGAACGACTCCTTACCCTTCAAATTAGTATCTAACAGCTTTGAGTTGTGCACCCTGACTTCAGAAAACCACTACGCAGCAGAAAGCAGCAAGAAAATGGCTCCTCACATCAGGATGGAGGCCTCCTTGTTTGTGATTCCTGTAAGAGACCCTGCTCTCCTCAGGGGAGGTGTCACGACTTTGATGAATATATCTCTATTAACCACCTCCCATTGTCAGCGCTGGCCTTTGTGTTGCAGGCCAATCCATCAGACTGTGTGGAGATCCTGGGTCGACACTTCCCTCAGGTGATTATTAAAGTCCTACTGACCCAGCGGCCACTCCACGCAGCCATCCCTCTGCTGAGGAGGCTGTTTTCAGGCCTCTTAAACAAGAATCAGCAATTAGAAGCTGCACTGGCAACAACAAAAGCAATGTGGCTGACTGAGAGAGGAAAAAGGGTGAAAGTCCTCAGAGACTAGCTAACAGTGCTAATGTGACCCAACCTGCCCTCCTTGGGACAGCCCTGTCAACTGATATGAGCCATAAAATATTACACATAGCCACATCTAGCATGGCTCTATCAGCCCTAATGAAAAATAGCACTAGATAAGTGCAGAGCAGCTGTCTGGCAAGATTTGTTCCATTCTCAGTGACAAAGGATAATTCTATATATAGTAATCAATGAGGAAAAACAAGTTAAAATCATGTATCATTTATTTAACAAAATAAGACCTTTTCCTGTTGGTTGGACAGCACAGCCATCGTTAATTGTTTTTTTTAATTTTATTTATGTCTTCTTATCTTTGTACTATTTGCATCTGTGACCCCAAATTGCTGACCCAAAGTAAGCTTGAAAAAATATTACATCTTTGCATATATACAAATAAAAATAATGGCATTGTTCAAGATAATTCTCAAATACATGCAGTTCTCCAGAGTTTGAATATGCAGTAGAAGATGAAGAAAAGAAAAAACAACAACAACAGCTGAAATGAGATATAAAAAAAAAGGTCTCTAGAATAAAGCCTCACAGTCCATTTTCATCGTGGTGCAAGATTTTTATTTTTAGAGAGTATGATAGGCATAATTGTACTATACTTAAATCACTTTTTCAGTTAGAATACTTAAGAACTATTCATTTGGACAGCAAAATTTTCTCCCCAGAGTTGAATCCCAAGCGCTTGAGTGAAAAATAAATACAGACTTTCAGTTCTGGGGGACAGATATAGAGAAAAGCAAAACAAAAAAATAAATCAAGACTGTCGTAATAATCCCACAGTCATTTTCAAGCTCTGCTCTGCCATCTTTAAACACTACAGTCTGTTCACTCCGTGCTGCAGACAATCACAGGGTCTTTTGCCTTTGGAGCGCCAGTCACAATCCTGAGACCAACAGGTGGTATTCCTGGCAGACAGACCAGCAGGCATGATGCCCTGTACTGGTGATGACCCCAGTCTAAAGAATCCATCTTCAGGGCTACTCTGGAGAGTCCAAGCTGGTGCCTACAGTATGTGGGCATCAACACTGTGTCAAATATCACTGGTATCCAAGGGCTGAGGCTGAGCCCAGTCTCTGACTGTATAGGGCATAGGGGGAGTAATAGGCTGATGAGGAGGGGAGGGATGGCATGGGAAGTCCTGGGGCTCCAGGCAGATGGGATTTGCTGTAGGGATGGTAGCGGGCCAGACCCAAACCGGGAGAGCCTCGGAGGGAGAAGGAGCTGGGCAGAGTACCTGGGCTGCTGGGTGGGGGCAGGTGGAGGTGGCAGGAGGCTGTCGATGAAACCGATGAAGGGTAGGCTGACAACAGCTTACTGTCCACCATCCCAGGCAGGGCTGTGTGGGTACGCAAGTGGGCTAGTAGCTCCTCTGAGGTGGAAAAACGCTTGTCACAAGGACCTCCTACAGACACCCAGTTACAGGCGTGGGGCAGTGGGTCATTGGGGAGCATGAAACCATAAGTGTATAGGGGGTGGGAAAGGGAGGGGGTGGAGCTGGAGGACAGGGAGCTGGAGTGCAGGGAGTGGAGATGGTGTGAGGGGTAAACCAGGGGGAAACCTGACTTGAGACTTGAGGGATCATGGACACAGGTGGAGCAGTTACTGCCTCCCAGGTGGGGTGCGTTTGGGTAAGTCAGACAGTATGGGTCCCGACATAAGCCCTGCATCAGGGATGGAGGTGAGGCTCCAGTGAGTGGGCTGGAGCTGGGGTGCTTTCCTGGAAGTCCCAACCCCAAAGTAGACTTGGTAGGATCCAAACCAGGAACAAACTGAGAGGGGTAGCCAGCGTAGGCCCCCACAACAGAGCCGTGGTAACCCATGGTAGCAGGAGGCAAAGGGAAGACAGAATGTCCTGGTTTAAAAGGAGAAACAGGGGCAATATGCCCAGACCCCAGGCCAGGCTGTGAGGAGGCCTGTGGGTCTGTCTTGCTCTCCGGCCGCGGGCTGCTGGCGGAGCTGGCATTGCTGGAGTTGGCACTGGCACGTATGTGGCTGGAGTTTGCTAACTGAGCCCCGTCCATCCCCGATTTAGCTGCATCTGAGTCTTTTTTGCTGGAACTGCTGTTGTTAGTGTCTGAACTGGCCTGTTCTGAGCTCCCAGGTTTGTTGTCCAGGTGCAGGGCTTGGGAGTGTGGCGGAGGCTGCGTGGAGGGGGAATGGCTTTGCCTGTGGGGCTGGTTCTGAGTGTGAAGGGGAGGAGAGCTAGAGCTGGGTGACTGGGAATGGGGAGGAAAGGACTGACAGGAAGTGCTACCACCACTGGAGCTTACATTTGGCACTCTGAAAGCAGCTTTATCTGAAGGCCCCTTTGTCACCAGAACATCCTTCCTACAGTCGCCTGATGACTTTGAGTAAGGCTTGAAGCTGGACCTGTCCTCCTGAGACTGGTGCTGCTCTCCAGGTTTGGATGACCGACTGGAGGACTCCTTGTCTCCCAGGCTGCCAGAGGAGAGGGAAGCCAACTTGGAAGAGGAGGGGGGGTCTGGTTTGCCAATTTGAGAGCAGGTCTGGGCCAGCAGAGCCAAAGGACTCTTCTTGGCATCCAGCTGACAAAGAAAAAACAGAGTAAGAAGGTGAACAAACTGTTTCTGTAATTCATTAATTATATTTCAGCATCATATGACATACTGGCTATATTGCAATCATAATAATACTAAGCAAGGATTAAAATCATTTTTGACAATATACAGTATTTCCCGACCAAGTAATGCACTAGAAAACCCAGTGAAGTCCACATTAGACCTGCTTTGTGTATTTATGTCTGAGATGTATAGAGGAAGTTAGTGGATGTACCGTTGAACCCAAGTTTATGAAGGAAAGAATGAAGATAAGGAAGACATAAGGAGATTATATAGACAACATTTAACTGTATCCATAAAGTACTGTATTATTAGTAGTTTTACATTTCAAACTCCAATCTCTTGTAAACGTGCCAATAAATGCTGTGCGCAAAATGGCGCACTTGCTGACTTTTTTTTTTTTTTTTTGTTAGAATAACCCTCAAAAAATGCCGTTTTGGTTTTTTCACTTACTTCAATGCTGACTGGCGCAGATGTGAGGGGCTGGAGATACTCCGGGTGCAGCAAGTGGCCGCTGTGCGCCGTCAACATCTTTACGATCCGGATAGGAATTCTCTTAGCCTGGCGCGAGGGATCCGAGGGAGAAGGACAAGACGTGGATGTGGAAACAGACGGTCTCTCCGCTCTTGTCCGATGGGGATCACCGCTGGTGACGGCGGCGCTGCGCTCCGGGGACTGGCTGCGTAAAAGCGCTTCAGGTCCACCGGGGAGATCTCTCATCTGGATCGGGGTGCGAAGAGGGACGGCGACATATAACGAGTGGACGCAGGGCTGAAATTCATTTACCAGCACAATTCATGATGATAAATTCAACAGAAGAGAGTGCGGTAATCCAAAAGGGCATGTGCGAAGTGCGCGTCCTCTGTCCAGCCCAAGTTGCCCCTAAAGAGGAACAAATCGCCCAAATGTTATCCTTTATCGGGTTCTTCAATATCACCCGCTAATTATTCCTAAATATTCCTTTATCCAGTGTTGAAACTGAGCAACAACAAAAAAAACAAGAAATCATGGGTAGTCACTGCTCGTGAAATACGGTGCAAGTGACGGAATATCCCCGCAGAGGATAGTGTGCGTCAGTCCTCCGTTTCGTCTATCTCTCCCTCCGCAACAGCCTCTCACTACTTCACTTCTTCCACGTACTAAGGGCGCTAGGGGAGGGATTTCAAAGCAATAAACCCCCGTCCAATCAAAAGTACCTGCATTCGAAAGCAGGGGCGGGGCAATGGGGAGTGGCTTGTCTCCTGGTTTCGCCCTCATTCGCAGGCTGTAATGTATGGGAGGAAATCTGTGTGAGTGACCTTCATAAACCACATGCAAACTAGACATAAATATTGTAGATATAACTACTGCACCAGATTTGACAAAAGTTGTTGTTTATACTATATACTGTCTGACAAAACACAAACCTGGGAGAATTAACTATTTGTATTATTTCAATGGGACATGCTACATACAGTAGGTACGTTAATTCTGAAACAATAACAAACTGTCCGTGGACAGTTTGTTAATGGATTTACTGCATTATAGCAATAAACTGGCACTGCTACTGGAGATAATTAGATTAGACTCAGGATAAAACAAACTCAAATAATTAATTTTTTCTTTTTCTTTTCTTTTGGGGGGGGGCAGGAAATGGCATTTTGGTTTGGTATTTACAGCCATGCATTCTAAAACAACTCCAGAGTTATGATAGATTTTATATATGCATATATCTTTGCAGATGCATCCAAACTCCAGACAAATTAACAGATCAACCTGAATAAATGAGCAGAGAAACATAATGAATGCAGCTGCTGGCATGGGTCCAGTTGCCCCCCGCAGAGGGAAGGGTCCCTCTAGATCAATACAAAGTTGTTCTGAATCATGACTTTCATCCTACACTGGAACATTTCTATCCTGATGGGAGTGGTCACTTCCAGGATGACAGTGCCCCCATTCACAGGACACGAGGGACCATTAAATGGGTTGATGAGGATGAAAATCATATGCTGTGGCCTTCACAGTCACCAGATCTGAACTCAGTTGAACCCTATGGGAGATGTTGGACAGACGTGTAGACACACTGATTACTAAGCCTGGTATGTTGAGTTCATTTTCCATAAAGACAAGACAACAAGCTGTGTTTTCTGGGGATCAGCTATCAAGTCAGTCACATCACCCTGCTTAAACTACTAGATCCATAATCCAAGACATTACACAAGTGTTTTATTCAGTGTTCAAGTGTTTTATTATTTATTCATTTATTTTATTCAGTCCAGAGATTGAAAGTAACTAAGTATATGTACTCAAGTACCATACTTACGCTATCCATCAGTATATAAAGTACTTCCTAGTATAAGCATATAAGGTAGTTAACATTAGCTCTACCTGCACCAGCTTCAACATTAAATATGATGTACACAATAACTCATCAATAATTGTAGTTCAATAATATGATATACCTTAATGTAAACAGTGCCACTCTGCATAATGAGTACTTTTACTTTAAGTGTATTTTATGCTATTGCTTTTGTAGTTTTACTTAAGTAACAATTTGAATACAGGACTTTTACTTGTAACAGAGCATTTTTACACTGTGTTACTGCTACTTTTCCTTAAGTAAACTGTCTGGGTCCACCACTGGTTCAATCCGTTTAAAGTAGTGCCATAGATTATTGATTACTGGCTGCAGGAAACCAAGAGAAGCCTTTCGTCTGAGCTTTCACACTTTCACTTGTTTCACATTGCACAGCACAGACTGGCCTTATCACACTGTACTACCATCAGCCTACACCTTGATTACAATGGCTGCTGCCATTTATCTGCAGCTGAGAGGAAAGGATGAAGTCACGTCAGCTTCACTCAACAGCATCACTGTTTGACCTGTCAACATTAGGCTTAGTCGTCACTCATCACCCACACACTGCCACTCATGCTTCAATGGTCTGCGGAGATCCAAGAATATGTGAACACAAACGTACATGCCGCCATGCTAAGTGTGGTACAGTCTTCTTTTGAATCCGCCTGTTTGTTTAAAACTGTCTGTCGCCACCTCCGGCTGAAACACATAAACAGGTGACGCATATCAACTGCTTTCTCACTGTGAGATTTAAAGGTAAAGCTCAGAGCTTACCAGGGATTTCAAACATTTTTTTTTACAATGCAGACTGCCAGTTATGTTGTGAGGTTTGTGATTGTGCTCTTGTTTATCACACAGTCATCCACTTGCTAAAAGGGTGAGTGGGTAACTTGCTGCAGTGTGGGTGGGGTTGCATAAGGAAGGGGGGCGTTTAAAAGGAGACCAAAAGAGGAGGGCACTGGGAAAAGCCAGACAAAGACAGGGAGAGAATGAAACAAGGGAGGGCTCAAACAACAGGGAGCAACTCCTTTCATGTGTCCCCTTGATGTAGGCTGGTAACAGCTGTTTTGGCGTGTCGATGACTGATGGCTGTTTCCTGTTGTGGATATTTTAAGGGGACAGCTTTCCCGTTAAAGAGGCTTCTCAGCATGTTCAGGTCTCACTGGCCCTTGGGGCATTTTCATGGCTTTCCATGGCTCTATCAAAGCAGCGAGTTTGTCTGGAAGAGCAGCCAAACAAAACCCTCAGGAGGGGGCTGATAGAGGCTGAGGAGGGGTGAGGAGGAGTGGACCCCACATGCCCCTGTGATCCTTAGATTTATACAACCGCTGAGGCCTGTAATGGACGCCATAGCTCTGTGGCTGGGCCTAATTCATTCCCGTGTTGAAAAGCTGCTGTTTGCCTGACTCCAGAGAAAATATATAATGCTGACATTAGGCAGCTGAATTCTTCAAACCTGGCTCAAGCAAATCCTTGTCTGCTCATTTGTCTTTTGCTCTGTGTTTGGAACTGCTGAGGCGTTTTGCGGCACACACTGGGCTTAGCGTTGTGTAGATGCACGGTGTGATTGTTTAATGAGGGCTTGACATTGATGTGAGCTCATAAGCGTCTTGTTTCTTTCTCTCTTTTTTTCAAGTTATCATACTTCTACAGGCCTTCAGCTGTGTCAGCCAGACTCTGACAAGGTCTGGCTGCATGTAGTACTGTACAAAGAGAAGGAGAGAGAAATGATAAAAGCGCCAGGGAGGCAGAGGAGGGAAAACGAGTGTAAATAACTCCTATTTAATTATCTGTGACTGACTTATGGGGTGTGTGGAATGGGAATAGAGGCCTGAGGCTGGGGCTTTGCTCTAGCCCTAGTGTTGTCTCCAGCAGTAATAAAACCAACGGGGAAAAAAGTGGATTAAGACAGTTTCATGGGGTGTAGCAGACATGACATTTAGACCAAAACACTTAGAAAGAACCTCACAGGCAACATTCCAGCCAGGACAGAATGTTGAAACAAGGGTTTCTTTGAGCTGAAAGATACACAAACAATATATACACAGTGTACTTAATGTATTCACACTTCCTCCTTTAGCTTTTGGTGTTTGTCTTTCCTCTCTGTCTTTGACATAGGCTGCATACAGTAATCCTTTCACAGCTGAATGTGCATGCGCTCACATGAGAAAATGTAGCCTGTGCACAAAAGCACAAACAGGCAGGCCGCACTGTGCGTGATAGCATCTTAACAATGTGTTTTTGTAGTTTCATATACAGTATCATCTACCTGTCTTCATAGTACAGCATATCTTTGTGTGTGTGTGTGTGTGTGTGTGTGTGTGTGTTAGAGCCAGCACTGTGGCTGACAACCATATCTTTCCAGTTTAGCAGGGAGATTGTCTCTCTTGTCAGCTCATCACGTTTTGCAAGCTAACGCTCTTATCCACACTGCCTACCTGCCGTCTATCTGTCTGCATTATAATCACACCAGGATAATAGGCTTCCCTGTGTGTTTGCAGATTGACACTTTTATTTCCGAATCCTACACCATGCATGGTTCTGCCTTGTTGTGCTCACTAGACTTCAAGCACATTGGCAGACAGGCATGTAGGCTGCACAACACCCACACCCGTGCAACCTGAAGTCCTCTCACCACACTGGGAAACAAAAGCTGCTATTGTCCTCCACAAGGAGAAGTTATCAAGAGCACGGAGAGAGGAGGAGGAGACGAGGGGAGACAGCGTCTGCCTCAAATCAGATTGTCCTGCATTGTTGTGTGAAATTTCAGATGACATCAAAAGATATTTTATTTTCCACTGGTTTGATGACAGAGGGGGTCATTTTGATATAAACACAATCAAGGTATTCACAACCTGGACCCATGACAGGTTTGGCTGAAAGAAGAACAACAGGCTGCAAAGAAAATCTCCCCAGCAGATTCCTCATGCTTGTTAAAGTCAATGCTGTTTCCTCCACTCACAGTCGGAGTCATCGCCTCTGTGTCTTCATCATCCAGCCTTTTTAGGAGGAGGCTGCTGGGAAGTGTCTTTCTTTCTTTCTTTCTTTGAAAGCACACCTCCTTTGTGAGAAAATCATAACAAGAACCGGTTTTCCCATCAGGATATTTAAGGGTGAGTTTTGAAAAAGGAAGTTGTGCAATCTAGCTTCTCAAACTTAGTCCCACTCACTTATTTCACAAAATGACTCTTTGGCATTCGTGACCTGACAAACAGCATGAGCTACTGGAGACTGCAGTAGTTGCAATGTTCCTTCCTGGGATGATGATGATGATGATGGGCGGGGCTCAGCAGCACATGTCAGTCATCACAACCCACAGCGAGGCCTAGTCATGTCAGCTGTCATAGCTTTGGTGTGACAAGGGATGGTATTGCTCAATTAAAAGCCTATCAATGTGTAAATAAATCAGCACCTTTCAGGCTTGACAAACGGTTGTTGAAGCGACCCACCCATGCCATTAATCTCTCTCTATGTGCTTGCCAATCTTAGGTCAGGAGCAAGAAAACTGAGAGTCAAAGTATTCCACATAGGGAATATGACAAATATAGTTGTAGGCCCACTGGAAAACAAGACATGTAGTGGATTTGTTTTTAAGTCACTATTTTACTGAGTTGAACTAAATGTTGTGTTTTATGAATTTTCTTTACAACCCCAAATCAGAAAACGTTGGGACAGTATGTAAAATCAAAATTAAAACAGAAAATAGTGGTGTGTAAATCATCTGTGTCCTGTTACATTGAAAACAACACAGCAGCACATTATTTGATGTAATACC